CACCCAGCCACACCTGATCCCAGCTTTCTGCACAGCTGTCTTCTATCATTTGTCCTTCTGCATCTCCAGTCGCCCCCAGTTAGGTCAGTGGAACAAGAGCTCGTGAGAAAGCTCTCGAGATATTGGAAAGGGTTCTTTAGCAGTTTGGAGATTCAACACAGAAAATGCTGCTTCTACTGCTTAGGCAGCGACCTTAACAGTCTCAATAAATACAGGGTAAAAAATGTTTTTTCTTCACTTTCAGTCTTTGACAGGTCCTCACTTATAGTCATGGAACTCCTGGATGATTGTGGCTTTTGAAGTAATCCCCAAGGGAAGATAGTATTAAAGTCCGGGCATGATGGTACATGTCTATAATCCCAGCTACTTGGGAGGCAGAGATAGAATGATCTCAGTCGGAGGTCAACCTGGACAAAGTTAGCTTAAAACCCTATCTGAAAAACAAACTGAAAGCAAAAAGTGTGGCTCAAGTAGTAGAGTTCTTGCTGAGCCTGAGTTCAATCCCCAGTACCACAAAAAACAAAACAATAACAAGTGATAAATATGGAGTCTTTAAAACCAAAAAGATCCTATTTCATTTTGACATTACTGGGGTTTGAATTCAGGGCCTTGTGCTTATTAGGCAGGCGCTCTACCACTTGAGCCACTCCACCAGCCCTAAAAGGACTTTCTCAATCCCACTCGTGGCTACTGACTCCTGTATTAGTTTGCAGGACTATTACAGTAAAGTACCACTGAGTAGGTGACTTCAAGGTCAAGGTGTCAGCAGCGTGGTTCCTTCTGAGGGCCATGAGAGAAGGATCTGCCCCAGGCTCTCTGCTCGCCTACAACTTGCCATCTTCTCCGTGTCTGTTCACAGCATGTTCCCTCTGTGCCTATCGTGTCCAAATTCCTCATATATCGCAGGAATTAGGGCCTAACCTATGACCTCATTCAACCTACCTACCTGCATATGGAGCCCACTTCCAAATAAGGTCACACTCTGAGCTATTTCCTGGCAAGTAAAGGGACCTAGTTTAGCCCATAGCGGTTGCTGTGTGTGTTTGTAAAGAACAGTGCTGGGAGGGGAAGACACACACACACACACACCATCCAAGTGCAAGGGCAGCAGCAGGGGTCAGAGTGGACTATGCAGCCACACAGCAGGCTTGATACATGAGATGATCAGGGATTTGCAATCAGCAGGAGTCACTCAAGTGCCGGAAAGCCGCCTGTACAATTGTCAGCCTGTGTAAATTATTGATGTCCTCAGGCTTCTCTAGGGCCTTTGGAAAACAAGTGAATCAGGCAGGCAACAACTGTGTTAAAATCTTGCTGCTGCATACTCAGTTTTGAAATGAGAGCTGTAATCTTAAATCCATCCCATGAGATGTGGAAGATGAGGGCCAGCTTCTGGGCTGCTGCAAAGGGGTGCTTTGATGGAACACTGCAGGTGGACAAGAGGCCTGAGGCCAGCACCCCAGAATCTGACCAGCATTCTGCTGAATCAGACACACGTGGGCTGTCTTCACCCAAGTTGTGCAGATCCTTCAAGGACAGCAGAAGTCCCTCGTTCTGCACGAAGCCTTCTCTATTGAAGTCCTCAGTCCCTAGTCCTTGGAAAAGAGTAACTGCCTATTCCTGTATCTCCTGTATGAAAGCATTTGATGTCCCCACTCCAGAGGAACAAATACAGAAACCTTAAAACAGGTTATCATGAGCAGGGGATCAGGAACCAGTGTAAAGATCATTGAGTTAGCGTTGAATCAACATGGGACGTAACACATGGTACAGGAAAGCAATAGTAGGAATTCTGCATAGCTATCCTTAACTCAACTAGCAAAAATGCTTTGTCTTCCTTATTATGCTTATGTCATTTCTTCAACAAAATCCTGATAAGGGCAGAAGGAGACCTGCCTGGAACTGAGGGAGGGTAGGGGGGAAGGGAGGGGAGGGGAGCAGGGTGGAGAAATGACCCAAACAGTGTATGCACATGTGAATAAATGAACAAAAAATAAAGAAAAGAAAGGAGAGAGAGAGAAAAAAAAAAGAGTAACTGCACTTGTGGTGTTTATTTAAGCTCAAAGGTAGGAAATATCGACCCGAACTCCTCTAAGTTTCTATGTAAGTCAGCTTTCCATTGCTGTGACAAAATACCTGGGTTAAACAACTTCAAGGGGGGAAAGATTTATTTTGGCTCACAGTTTCAGAAGTTTCAGTCCTTGGTCATTTGGCCCTGTCACTTGGGGCCTGTGGCGAAGCAGAACATCACAGGGAAGCAAAGGAAAACTGATCACTTCCTGATGGAAGCTAAGAGAGAAAGAGTCCCAATATCCCTCAAAGGTACACCTCCATTGACCTAACTCCTTCCACCAGGCCTCACCTCCTAGAGGTTCCACCAGCTCCTAACAGCGCCATCAGTCAAGGACCAAGCTTCAACACATGAGCCTTTGGGGGACATTTAAGACCCAAACCATAGCAGGTTCATTCCAGCTATAAAGTTCCATATCGGTGTGATTTTAGTGCATTCATTCTTCCCTGTCCTGATCTCTGCAGCACTGACCTTTCAGTGTATTCATTGGACCTCCTAAGAATCTTGGATGTCTGCTACTAGTTGTAATACAAAGAGAAACTCCCACTCTATGACCAAGTGATTGTCTTTGTGAAGTAATGCCCAATAGAGGATAGATATAAATAAAATTAAATTACTAAATATAGATCCTTATTTTAAAAAAAAGAAAAAGCTATAATTCCAGTCCTTGGAAGATGGAAGCAGGAGGATCACAAGTTCCAGGCCAGTCTGGCCTACACAGGAGAACTTGTCTTAGAAAAAAATTTTTTTTATATACTTTAGACTTCCCAACATCCCACAGTAGTAATTTTGTGTTTGAAAATTCAAGAATCTCTGAGAAAACAAATCAGGTGAACCAGAGATGGTAGGGACTCAGAGCCAAGGAGATGGTGGTGAGGTGAGGCATTGCCAAGCTTTGATACAGATTTGGGGTAATGCTGGAGTTATTAGAAGAAATGAGTACAGTGATTCAGGATGAGCTGATGTTCTGTCCTGAGAAATACACCAGCCAAGAGTATCAACAGCAAGAAGTAGCAAAGATACAGAGTAAGACTGGGAAAAGCAGAACTCGGGAATTGCTGATGGAAATGGGCTTGGAATAAAAAAAAAATGAAAAACAGGACTTAGGCTCTGATAACCCAAAGAAAAATTGCTGCTTTCCTCAAAGATATTTTGGCAAAGAATTCCAACTTGAAGCCAAAGTGAGGATGCCCTGGACATCACATTAAGGAAAGACCCTGCTTCCATGGCCCCAGGACTGAAGCCTGAAATAGTTATAGTTAAAAGGAGGTTGGGAGCCTGGCCCCGTGGCAGAGCACTTGCCTCACAAGCACAAGGTCCTGGATTCCATCCCCAGCACTGCAAAAATAATAAAATAAATCACTGTTGAGGGTTTGGAGCTGGAGGATGGTGGGCCCTTCATAGGACTGCTTAGTGTTGCTCATCATGGCAATCTGACTGTGTGAAGTCCTGCCTTTCATTTTAGCTCTGCTCCAAGATTCCCTCCCAGCACATCCTGGATCTTAAAATAATCTATTGCTAAGTACATTTTCAAAACAGTAGGTTGAGGTGGGGGAAATGTTGAGGAAAGAGTTGCTAAGTGGAGGTGGCAAGCCAGGGATTAACACCTTGAGAAAGACACTTGTCGCCTCTGATACCCTGCCATGCCTATTGGCATGTAAAAGGCCAGCCTTTCTACCTGAGATTCATAAAAGAGAACCATCCAATTAAAAAAACCAAATGGTGAGTTAATAAAAATTACCACTCATGAGAGGTTCACAGGATATGATGAAAACTGATTGCTAAACAGAATTCCTTTATTTGACAGAAGTTCTTTCTTAATAACTGTCAGTTATTTCAAACTTTTATTCAAGTTTTTTAGTCTCCTGTTGAAGAGATTGGGTAGTACCATTTCTCTGACCCTGCCCCAACCTTCCTCACTACAATTTGGAGATTCTAGCATATGCTGGGCACTGTACTGGTGTTCGTTGAGGGGATGGTGCAGAGGATTGAACCCAGGACCTCATGTGTGCTAAGCAATGCTTTACCACTGAGCTACATCCAACTTTAACTCTATATGTATGTTTCTCACTTTATTTTCCCATAGAAAAGTTTTATCTCGCCTCGCTGTGGTGGTCCACACCATAGTCCCAGCTACTTGGGAGGCTCAGGCAGAGGGGTCACTTGAGCCCAGGAGTTCAGAGTCAGCCTGGACAACATTGTGAGGGGAGAGGAGGGGAGTGGAGGGGGGACAAAATTGTAAGAGAGGAAAGGAGAGGGGAGGGGAGAGGAAAGGAGATTATCCCTCATAACTAGCCTAAAAAGTAGGAGTTACTACTTCCATTTTGTAGATGATACAGTGCTCAAAGAAGGTTGGCTAATTTGCATGTCACAATAATTAGGAATTAATAGATTTGACCCAATCAGTATGTCTCTACAACTGAAAATGGCTCTGATTTTAAGTGGTTATCATTTTAGCTTATATATTTGCTGGACATGTTTTTATGCCCAACCACAGAGATACCATTTGGAAATGACCAAAGCATTCAGAAGTTCAAGACTACATTTGAGTTGCTCCTTCTGGCTTCAGGTCTAAGATACCATAGCACGTCCCCTAAGCGCTGAGCACTGGGAAGGCAGGAATACGTCTTAGTTGGTGTCATGTCCTTAGCACAGTGCTCTGATGTAGTCAGGACTTTATCTCAATAACCCTTCATGTAATCAGCGGGTCACAGGTGCCCCAAAGAAGCATATGTTGTGCTAGCCATTATAGAGGACTCCCAAACTGAGTGCACACACCCTGTTTCTACCTGCATGCTTTCCAGAAGTGAGGTATTGGGAGAAATAGTGAACTTGTGTTCCCACTCTTGGGCAAGAGTTCCAATTCAATACCAAAACTTAGTCTCACTGCTGCTTTCTCTTTTTTTTTTTTTTTTTTTTTGTCCTACAGTAAGTGAAAATGGTGACCACCTAAGCCACATGACGAGGGCTGAGCATCATTGTGGCAGAGGCATTTCTCCAGTCCAGAATCCTAGAAAGGAACTTGGCTGAGCCCCAGTCCTCCAAAGCAAAAGTCTCCTGGACTTAGAAGTTTGCGAGATGTTGGGAGCCTTGGTCCATGGGCCGGTCAGCAGGTGGATTGTGAGGATACCACACTATTCTGTCATTTGCTGTTGCTTGCTGACTGCGCAGAACTGCATGAACTCTGTCGAAACTGCTTTCCATGCCATCACCAGTCACCTTTTCGGACTTGGAAGTGCTATTTTCCTATGGACTCCTGCATCGTTTCATTGTGCATGCACCCAGTGATTACACATAAGCCAATATGGAATCTGCTTATGTATTTTTTTAAATCTACCCAATGCAAAATGATAACGTATAAATTCTTTCTTATTTTTTTGCAAAATTATAATCATAGCCCATGTCATGGAAAGTTTAAATTGTTTTCTTTCAAAGATCAGTGTACTAGGTCTGCCTATACTTTATAGAAAATTAGCTTCTATAAAGATTTTTTCACTGTTTACTAGTGAAATGAGAAAAGCAAAGCTATTTATAAAAGGCCTTATGTCGTGTACATACGTTGTCTTTGAAATATTTGTGATTTAGTTTATTGCTTGTAAAAGAGAAATTATATAATTTATTTAGTAAATACTACTGTAAACTATAGTTTTATTGAAAGAATAAAATATTTTGTTCTCAATTATGGTCATTGATTCCAATGACTTATTGTCATTACTGTTGGGAGGGAGGTGATACAGAGACTCATACATGCTAGATAAATGTTGTATAACTAAATATATTCTCAGTCCATTTTTTTTTTGCAGTACCAAACCTTGAACTCGGAACCTTGTGCTTGCAAGGCAGGTGCTCTACCACTTAAGCCACAGTCTCTAGCGCTTTTTGGTTTATTTATATTTCAAATAGGGTTTTTGTTAGGGTGAGCCTGAACTCCAGTCTTCCTATTTATGTCTTCCATATAGCTGGGATTATAAGCACATACCACCATGCATATTGACTGATATGAAGTCTCACTAAATTTTTGCCTGGGCTTGTCTCAAACCATAATCTCCAATCACCACCTCCCAAGTAGCTGGGAGGTAGCTTTCCAACTCACATTATTTTTAGTAATTAAAAAGAAATAGTACAGGGACTGGCAGCCTGGATCAAGTGGTAGAGTGCCTGCCTTGCAAACACAAGGCCCTGAGTTTAGACCCCAGTACTGCAGAAGGAGGAAGAGGAAGATAATAGAACAAACCTAGACACTCCCCATTTTAGAAGTTCCGGAATCCTAAATAACCTGAAGCTCATGACAGATGGAAGTGGAAAGATAAAACCTGCAGTCCTGAGAAGACTCAGTAGCAGATTCTGCCCAAAAAGCCCATCCCAAATGCCTTGGTGTATTGGTCAGCTTTCACTGTGCTATGCCATGGTAAGAAACAAGCCCAAAAGCAAAATTGTTTTTGCCAACAGTTTTATTTATCATCTGCCTATGTGACCAGATGCATCTCTGCTCCAGGGGTTGCCTTTATTTATGGATCCAGAGCAGCTCCTACCTGGGACGTGACACTTTTTTTAAACCCCATTTCTGCTTCCCCCTCAACAGTTTTTTATAGTTTTCATTGTGCTATTTTCATACATATATGTAATGTGGCTCTCATATTCATCCCCTCATCACCTTCTCCTTTCCCCCCCTCCTCCCACCCATTCTCCCACACACACATGCTACATTTATGGCAGTAGAACAGCAGTGGTGGAAACAAGCAAGGGGAGCCCATAAAGTTTTTATTTCCATGAAATGTGCAGTACTGTTCTGCTCACCTTCCTTTGACCAAAGCAAGTGACATTGACAAGTCTGAAGTCAGAGTTTGAAAGTATACTTCTCTTGTAGGAATGGTCTCAGCAGAGGGGAACAGAGAATAGTTTCATCAAAGTGATTTGTACCACCTGTGAGTGTCCCCAGCAGCAGGGACCTAAGATGCTGGGGGGAAATCGCTAGAAAGAGAAATGATCAGCACTGCAGAAAAGCATTCCTGGTGAGTAAGATGTTCAGAATAAAATACTTCAAGTTAAAGCTGTTACGTGTAAGCAAATATGGTATAAACTTTCATAAGTGGAGCCTGGAGCCATGGTTACTCAGTGTAAGGAACAATTTTACCTGCAGAGTTACTACCGGGAAGCCATCCTGGGCTAAGATGTTGTCTTAGTTCATTTTGTGCTGCTGAAACAGAATACCACAGACTAGGTAATTGTGAGGGACAGAAACCTCTTTCTTACAGTTCTAGAGGCTGGCAAGTCCAAGATCAAGGTCCCCGCATCAGTGGAAAGCTTTGTTACTACATCCTCACTTTCTCGCAGAAGGGCAAGAAGAGAGCCAGCTCCCTCCAGCCTTGTTTATAGCAGTATCAATCCATGCATGAGGACAGAGCCCTCATGACCTAAACACTTCCTAAAAGGCCCCACCCCAACACTGTCACACTGGGGATTAAGTATGCAACACATGAATTCTGGAGAGCACATTTGGATGACAGCAGACATCAACAGAGATTTCTAAAGTAGATGAGCAGCATTCTCTGCCTGTCTTCCTACTATTCGTACATACTAGCAGATGTTCTCCTTTACTACCTGGCTTTTGCCTAGCTGGACTCCCACTCCTCCCAGCTGTAAGTCTACTCATCTCATCTGGGATCCTTAGTCTAGAACACTGATTCCTAGGAAAGTCATAAGTGGATATTAATAAGGCCACAAAATAACATACCCATGTGTAGATGGAGTGTGGGGTTTTTTCCATAATGAGAAAGGCTATATCATCAAATTCACAGTGACCTTGACCCAAGAAATGTTAAGAACTATCGTTTCAAGACCTAACTCAAGTACCATGAATTTTTCTCTGGTTCCTAACCCTCCACCCTATCTTTGGGCAGCCTGAAGTTATCTTACCACCTCAGGAAACCTCAGCCCTTTCTTAATATTGAGGTACTACATATGCTAGAGCTCACTATTAACTGTAGAGCCCAATGAACTTTTACTTCTGTATATACCCATTTAATTAGCACCCATAATAAGATGTAGATCATTTCCAGTTAAACTACAGGCCTCTCTGGGTCTCTTCCCTGTCACTGCCATCTGCAAAGATAACCATTTTTATGGCTTCTATAATCATGAAATTAAAATTTTGCCAATTTTTGAGCTTCATATAAATGACATTATATAGTACTTCTTTATCTGGCTTTTTCTTGTTCAACACTATGTAAAATTCCTTTATTTTGTGTTCAGTAGAAACTCATTCCTTTTTGCTGCTGTGTGGCATTTTGTGTCTTAGTCTATTCCTGCTGCTATAACAAAATACCCAAGACTGCATAATTTATAAAGAACATAAACTTATTTCTCACAGTTCTGGAGGCTACAAGTCCAAGATCAAGGCACTAACAGGTTCAGTTAGTTGAGGCCTACTGTCAGCTTCCAAGATGTTGTCTTGTTAATCCATCTTCCAGAGGGGGTGAATGCTGTGTCCTCACATTGAAGGACAGAGCAAACAGTGATGTGTAGCTAATTCCCTCCAGTCCTTTTGCAAGGCACTAATCCTATTCATGAAGGCAAAGCCCTTGTGGCCTAATCACCTTCTAAAGCCACCCCTTAATACTGTGGCATTGGAATTAGGTTTCAACATATGAATTTGGGGACACACTGAGACCATAGCACTATTTTATCTACTGTATTGATGACATGATTGGTCACATTAAGGGGATTCTGTTCTTAAGGTCAATTGATGGTAGACTTCAACCACAGCTGCAAAATACTTTAGCAGCAACACTGTCTTCTTAGAAAAGTCATCAAGAGCCACCTGACCGGCTCCAGTCTAGAGTGACTGATTTCCAGGCTTCCTCCATGCTTGCCATTCTGGGATCTCCCTTCACCTCCCCCTTAGGCTGAATCTCTTCTGTGTCCCTTAGTGTTCTCTTTCTTGATTTACTACCTAGTTTTGGTAAAGCACAAAGTCAAAGTTAAATATGGTCCAAGATTCTTGTTGTGCTTCTGATCCCCCTGGTGTTTCGATTGATCCTTTATGAGTCCTTCCACTAAATTTCTGTTTGTGTTGCTGGGGATCAAACACAGGGCCTCATGCATGCTAAGCAAGTGTTCTACCACTGAGCACCTAAATTCCTTGTTTCAAGAAAAGCAAATTGCAAGGAGCTGGTGCACCACACCTGTAATCCTAGTTACTCAGGATGCAGAGATCAGGAGGATTGGGGTTCAAAGCCAGCCCCAAGCAATTAGTTTGCAAGACTCTATCTCAAAAGAACCCATCTGCCAAAAAAAAGTGTTGGCAGAGTGGCTCAAGTGGTAAGAGCGCCTGCCTAGCAAACATGAGGCTCTGAGACCCTGATTTCATACCTTAGTGCCACCAAAAAAAAAAAAAGTGGAGACACAAACAACTTTATTGAAAGTGATAATGAAGTCAGGATTGATCACATTCATTGAGTCTGTGGTTCCTATAAGTCATTGAGGGAAAGATCTAATAAGTCATGGGAATTTGAACTTTGAACTCAGTAGAGAGATAAGAATTGGCGGCCAATTGTCTACCTAAAGCATGCGATCTCAGAGAGAGACCAAAGTCAAGGATGTGGAAACATCACCATCTGAAGATGAGGAAGGAACGTCAGATACTGCTGTTTGCCCGTCATGGCCGTGTCTGGTGTGGCCTGCCACCCTCAGTTCCTCCAAACCTTCAAGATCATTTCTGTGTGTACCTACTGGCTGGGCATGGTCACATGGCTGCAGCACGACTGCATATGTATGGTGCCTGGCTGTTATCATCTAACATATGGTGTAGTCAGGTGGCTGAGTAAGAAACTACTGTACCCAGACAGGGCACTGTGACACATAATTCCTGCACTTGGGAGTCTAAGGCAGGAGAACCATGAGTTCAAGGCCAGCTTGGACTATATAAGGAGACTCTGTTGAAAAAAATAGTCCCCAGGACAAGATGGGATGTCCCAAAGATGGGATGGACTTTGATAGGAGTTTCTGCAACCATATGAAGTAAACAACAGTACACTAGTGTCTCTGTGACCTCTTCTTGCCATCATCATGACAGCCACACTTCATAGTGGAAGGTTAGGACCCCAAGAGAAACTATACATCGGACTCACCTGGGGCCTTAAAAAAAATTCCTAATAACTGGTCCGGTCTCTGGAGATTGACTTAATTGGCCAGGGGTGTGA